TAAGTCTTGTTTAAACTTTTCATGACTAAAATGTTCTGTCATTGAGTCTTGTTTCAGCTTTTTATTGCTAGAATGTTCTGTCATTGAGTCTTGTTTGAACTTTTCACTACTAGAATGTTCTGTCATTGAGTCTTCTTTGAACTTTTCACTACTAAAATAATATTTCGTTGAGTCTTGTTTGAACTTTTCATGAATAGAATGTTCTGTCATTGAGTGTTGTTTGAACTTTTCACTACTACGATGTTCTGTCATTCAGTGTTGTTTGAACTTTTCATGAATAGAATGTTCTGTCATTGAGTGTTGTTTGAACTTTTCACTACTACGATGTTCTGTCACTCAGTGTTGTTTGAACTTTTCATGAATAGAATGTTCTGTCACTCAGTGTTGTTTGAACTTTTCACGACTAGAATGTTCTGTCATTGAGTCTTCTTTGAACTTTTCACTACTAAAATAATATTTCGTTGAGTCTTGTTTGAACTTTTCATGAATAGAATGTTCTGTCATTGAGTGTTGTTTGAACTTTTCACTACTACGATGTTCTGTAATTGAGTGTGTGTTTGTGTTTGTGTGTTTGTGTGGAACCTTTCACTACTAGAATGTCCTTACTTCGAGTCCTGTTTGAACTTTTTATAAATAGAATGTTATATCATTGAGTGTTGTTTGAACTTTTCACTACTAGAAGGTTCTGTCATTGAGTGTTGTTTGAACATTTTACAGCTAGAATGTTCTTTCATTGAGTGAGTCTTGTTTGAAGTCTTCACTAGTAGAATGAAAACCTAAACCTGAGGAGAACTGGGACAATGCAATAATTTGGATGACTTATTTTTACAGCAATAATCCGAATACAGGACAACCGGCTTCTCAGCTCAACTAAGTTATACATGCAGTAGCATCATCATTATGTTAATTATCTTCACAGTCGTCTTCTTCTTCTTCTTCTTCTTCGATCCTTCTGTCAGAAAACTTATATCAGGAGGCCGGTAGCCTTTATGAAGCTATCGTGCAATCCATATCCTCTCGTGTACCATACAGTTTTGTCTTCAGTGTGGTTGGAAAAGGCCAGATTGCGTCTCTGTTGTCAGCATACAGTTGACAGTGTTGGAGCACATGCTCAGCATTTTCGGGTGCCACGCTGCAGGGACACGTCTTCGTATTTCCTACACCGAAAAATTTGAACATATGTTGACGAAATCTGTTGTGCCCTGTCCTTAGTCTGAATATAATACACTGTCCCTCTCTAGAGAGGCGATGAAGTGAGTCTTGGGGAGAAAATCTGGTGTGGGTATCCAGCCACCTTTCTTGGATACTAGATTGTATTAGTGTTTTCATCTCTTAGTGGGTTAAGTCGCTATTTGGTTGTACCATGTCAATGTTCTGGCCAATCTGTCCGCTATTTCATTGCCTTTCAACCCACAGTGACCTGGAATCCCCCGTCATCAATACCGGCAACAAAAAAAGCGTAATCATCATCTTCAACAGCGGTGTCGTTATCGTCATCATCATCATCATCATCAAATCACGGAGTACATGGTGAAGCACGTATAAGCCACCTTGGAGGCCGAGATAGTAGACATTACCACCAACTCCTCTAGGAAGCCAACATTAGAGGTATCCTGGGGAGACTGAGCACGCATGGAAATGTGTTATGTACAACGACGTCGACTGTGATAGCATTAAATACTGACATCAACATTATCGCCGCTATCATCGTCAGTATCGTCCTCGTCATCATCATCATTTTCTAGTTTTACTGCTGACTTGGGGTTCCAGATCTCCCAACAGATTCTGGTCCTGGATGTTCTGTGTCAATTCTAGAGGGCAACATCAGAGGCTATGCAGTATCATGAATCTCAGGCAGCTTTACCTCTGTCATCGTCTGCTCAGAAAGACTGACGCGCACAGCTCTCCGCCTGGTATGCTAGGCACGTCTTCTCTGACAGGATTTTCTGTCTACAAAAGCCATAGCTACGGGAACACTCGTTCTGGGCAAGGGGCAAATCTGAAGACCATACATGAACGACTGTTGACAGAGAACACGAGATTAGATGACATAACATGTGTGAGAATGTGTGAAAGAAGAATTAGAAGTGGATCCGGCAAGGAGAGACGGATGAGAGGAAGAGAACGACATGTGTATAATCAGAGTCCTATGGGAACAGTTAGCATCTACACCTTAAGAAATTTGCTGCTGGAGACGGAGCACCTGTGGGTATGCCCTGTGTGCTATCATGTCGATTCTTAAATCAGTAATCTTTGACAGTGCTAGTGCTTTATTACAGTATGCGGTTTTCACTAACAGTACGTGTTTTCAATGACAGTTCATGTTTTCTATGACAGTACGTGTTTTCTATGACAGTACGTGTTTTCAATAACAGCACGTGTTTTCGGTGACAGTGCGTGTTTTCTATGACAGTACGTGTTTTCAATAACAGTACGTTTTTTTAATAACAGTACGTGTTTCCTATGACAGTACGTGTTTTCAATAACAGTGCGTGTTTGCTATCACAGTACGTGTTTTCACTGACAGTACGTGTTTTCTATGACAGTGCATGTTTTCAATGACAGTAGGTGTTTTCTATGACAGTACGTGTTTTCGATAACAGTACGTGTTTTCTATGACAGTACGTGTTTTCTATGACAGTACGTGTTTTCAATGACAGTGCGTGTTTGCTATCACAGTATGTGTTTTCACTGACAGTACGTGTTTTCTATGACAGTGCATGTTTTCAATGACAGTACGTGTTTTTCATGACAGTGCGTGTTTTCTATTACAGTACGTGTTTTCTCTGGCAGTACGTGTTTTTTATGAAAGTACCTGTTTTCTATGACAGTGTGTGTTTTCTATGACAGTGTTTTCTATAACAGTACGTGTTTTCTATGATAGTAAGTGTTTTCTATAACAGTACGTGTTTTCTATGACAGTGTGTGTTTTCTATGACAGTTGCATGTTTTCAATGACAGTATGTGTTTTCTATGACAGTACGTGTTTTCAATAACAGTTCGTGTTTTCTATGACAGTACGTGTTTTCTATAACAGTGCGTGTTTTCTATTACAGTACGTGTTCTCTATGACAGTACGTGTTTTCTATGACAGTATGTGTTTTCAATAACAGTACGTGTTTTCTATGACAGTTGCGTGTTTTCAATGACAGTATGTGTTTTCTATGACGGTACGTGTTTTCAATAACAGTACGTGTTTTCTACGACAGTACGTGTTTTCTATAACAGTACGTGTTTTCTATGATAGTGCGTGCTCAGAAAGACATGCCAAGGTTGAAATCCCCATTTGAACCTTCTTTGTGTCGCTAGGCGTCGGAGGTTAGCAGATGGTCAATGTTCGAGCTAGGGCACGCTCGGTTGCCCAGTATGCTGAGATGTTGTGGACTCCTTTAATCCATGTTCTTCTTGGTCGTCCTCTAGATCTTGCTGTTTCTACTTTTATGTTGTCTGCTTTGGGTGCTGGCCTTCTCGGATGCATTTTCAGTAGATTTCCAAACCGAAGTCTTTGTTTTTTCAATGAATTTAATTATAGACGGTTCTCCAATAGATCTGATAATGTCTTCGTCTATCACATTTTAACCCTTGCAGGACGTTACAAAACCAACCCTAGCACTTTTTTGCCGTTGTGGTTTTCCAAGGCAAATTTACTTCCAGTAGTTTGCCATTGCTCTCTAGACAGTCGGCTTCTCGATAGCACTGTCGAAACCAACACAAGGTGTCAGGCCCGCAGCTGGGATCGAACCTGGCACCCCGGCATTACGAAGTTCATTCGCAACGTTTTAACCATTAGCTACTTAAAAGTGTCATGCAGAGGAACGAAACAAACCAAGCTGTTACTTTACGAACATTTCTAAAACAACAAGCGATTCCTGCCCCTCCCTCTACCACAATACAACACTGTCATCTCAAAGGAAAGGAACGTGCAAACTGAGCAACTCTAAAAAATAAACACATGAGGGGTGATAAAGTCCCTGCAGAAAAACATGACAGATAAATTCTACATTTGATAAATGAACAAGAAGATATTTGAATGTTCGCTGTCATCTCAACAACTGCAATCTTCATTGTTCATTTAAAAAACATCTTCATCGCACATCGGACCTGACCATAAGTGCTCCCATCTCCTCCTGAGTATGTCTCCACACACACACAAAGTAGCGCACATACATTCCACATGGATGAATGATTTAAGAATTGACATCACTGCATTCGGGACATTCCCACACCTGCTCCATCACCTTCTTCAGCAGCCAACGAAGGGTCGACATTCTAATAGAACTAGACATTTCACATAGTGCTCCAAACAAACAAGATAATCGCTTCCATGTCAACGGAACTGACGTGAACGTAACGACAAGTATAGTGTCAAATTGTTAAAATGTGCTGACAATGAGAGGACGACTTCGTTACATGGTTTTTTATCGTATTTGTCTCATATTAAGTAGAGGAAGAAGAAGAAGAAGAAGCAGTAGTAGTAGTAGTTGTTGTTGTTGTTGTGGCAGCAGCAGCAGCAGTAGTAGTTGAAGTAGTAGTAGTAGTAGTAGTACTTGTAGTAGTAGTAGTAGTAGTAGTAGTAGTAGTAGTAGTAGTAGTAGTAGTAGTAGTAGTAGTAGCAGTAGCAGTAGCAGTAGTAGTAGTAGTAGTAGTAGTAGTAGTAGTAGTAGTAGTAGTAGTAGTAGTAGTAGTAGTAGTAGTAGTAGTAGTAGTAGTCGAAGGAGGAGGATAAGAAGGAGGAAGAGGAGTAGTAGACGTTTTTTTTTGTTGTTGTTGTGTTGGTGGTAGTGGTAGTACTATTAGCAGTAGCTATAATGAGGTCGTAGTAGAAGTAGTTATAGGAGCAGCAACATCAGTAGTGGTAGTAGTTTCGGTTGTTGTGGTGATGATGATGAGGATGATTGTAATAGCAACCACTGTAGCAGCATTATCTACCTACTCCGAACATAAAATTCCGTCTCCATCGTTTCCTTTTCAACAAATAAATCCCAGTGCTGAACTTAGGGTTAGTGAAATGCGGATTTCTTGAGGAAAAACACATCAATATTTCTTCTTATAGTCACCAGGCTAACTGGAGACAACTGCACCGACGACAACGACGCGGCATATCCGTGAGCTGCCATGAAGTTCAAAATGGGCTTGCTCTCTTCTGGAACCCTCCTGTGCCACTCCATCTGCACAATTTTGATATTGACATGTCGGAAGAGCTGGTCCGCACACGCCAGAGCATGGTGCTCTGTGTTCTCGATGTCCATCTTCATGTAGATGGTCTGGTCCTTCAGCAGCGGCACCAGGTCGTTGAGGCAGATGGTTCGAACCCTGACTCGCGTCCGAGATTGGTCTTCCTGAACTTTGAAAGGTTTGGAAGTGTTGAGCCGACTGGCGCCGAGACTTTTGCTGGTATGTGGAAAGATAACAGGTCACGTGACAATACATTCAGTTTGTATAAAGAAAAAAAAAAACATCACATGTTTATCATCATCATCCGCTTCATCGTCATCATCATCGACATTTTCCTTCACATAGATAACTCTCATTTCATCCATAACAAATCAGGGCCCTTTGTACGCAGACCTGCGGCCCCGCACAATGTAAATATTCGGCACTCATTGTTATTAAAGGACTTCACTTGTCCGGTATGACCTCAACACAGATTTAGTCTATGTGTGCCTCTCAACAACACAGATTTAGTCTATGTGTACCTCTCAACAACACAGATTTAGTCTATGCGTGCCTCTCAACAACACAGATTAAGTCTATGTGTGCCTCTCAGCAACACAGATTTAGTCTATGTGTGCCTCTCAACAACACAGATTTAGTCTATGTGTGCCTCTCAACAACACAGATTTAGTCTATGTGTACCTCTCAACAACACAGATTTAGTCTATGTGTGCCTCTCAACAACACAGATTTAGTCTATGTGTGCCTCTCAACAACACAGATTTAGTCTATGTGTACCTCTCAACAAAACAGATTTAGACTATGTGTGCCTCTGTCTTTCTTCTTTTTTTCTTCTTCTCTCCCAGCACCCCTTTCCCACAACACGCACGCACGCACACACACACACACACACACACACACACACATACCGACGTCACTACTTTTCCACACATGTGGCAACATATTTAAATCTTTCTTTATTTTTTTCTTTCTTTTTCTACCCCCATTTCCCACTCCAACACACACACACACACATACACACACCGACAACACTACTTTTCTACTTTTACACAAATACACACAGAGACATGCACGTGCGCGCGCGGACACACACGCACTTACACACACGAGTGACAAAACTGCTGTTACATAAACACGCTTATAAACAAGCATCCACACACACATGCACGCATACACACACACATAAACAGACATACACTCACACAAGCAAAAAAAGAGTGCCCTTACACAAAGAACAAAGCCTCCAGTGTTCTGTGATCCCTGTAGACGGCGTTGTTGATGAGCGTGACCTTCTTACCGAGACGGTTGAGGTACAAGGACAGTTGTAACAGATGCAGGTTGGCACCAACCATGTCAAGGGCGACCACCCGGTTCCCCAGGGCGGCGACCCAGACGGTGTAGACGCCGATGTTGCAGCCGATGTCCAGCAGTATCATCTGATCATCTAGCTGGTGGAAGATATCAAAAGTGAGATCGGCGAAATAGAAAGAATATGAAATACAGGGTTGTTGGGGGGAGGGGGGTGGGGGGGGGGGCACACGAAATAACTGTAAAGTGACGTTGTTTTAAAATCCATTTTGTAAAAAAAAAAAAAGAAAATTACCAAAGTGAATATATGGAAAATACGAGGAATACGATCTATCTATTTAACTTCTTTTACGCTACTAGGACATCACACAAGCGATAAACATCTGATGACACAAAGTGCCACCATGTGGATGAGGATCGCCCGTGGAGGGGTCCCGGAAACGCGTTCAGCCATTAGACCAATTTATGGCCGGACTATATTGCGGCCCCTGGCAAAAGCCAGAGTAGGGCTTCAAATAACGAAAAATTGCATCACACAAACGGATGACTAGATTACATAAAACAGAAATACGATCACGAAAATAAATAAAGAAATACGAAATTAGATCAAGAATTTACAAGACACATAATTGGAATACTACCTAAATTAAAACAACTTTAAAAAAAAAACCATTAAAACATACATTATGTTTGTTGAATTCCAGTCATATCTACAGTAGACTCAAATTGCTATATTTAATTACTGAACAGGTTTTGACTATCTTTTCATTTTTTTTACTATCAATATGCATATATTTTCCTACATTTCTTCTGTCTCTACTTAATCCCAAAGGTACTGGACAAACTTGCAGTTATAAATTTAGAACACAGTCAATCGATGAGGTGGCGTCTCCACAATAAAGGTTGGATGCAATAGTTCTCCAACACATTGTACTTCTTGTCTTGGTTGCACACTCTCTCAGGCTGCTGTTCATCCATCTCTTGATGCAACAGCATTCCACCCGTAAAGCTGTTTGTCTCATGCTCTTTGCTCTGGTTTTTATAAGTGTTTTATATATATATATGTGTGTGTGTGTGTGTGTGTGTGTGTTTGTGTGTGTGTGTGTGTGTGTGTGTTTGGCAGATATATTTCATTTCTTAATATATTTTTAATTACTTTCGGCAACTCCTTTTTTTATTCTTAGCATCTTCGCAACCTCTGTATATAAATTTTTAATCTCCATAAAGTATTACTTATTATGCCGTACATCCACATCCACAGAGGCGCAGTTCGATTTTCTAGTTCTTTGTTCAGAACGAGGGCATCAAAAACAGCAGCTGGAAGATCTTCCCAGGCCATAAACCGTAATGTGTGTTTTTTTTTTTTAAAGCAAAACAGAAATTAAAAGAAGAAAAAAAAATGGCTATCTACCTATGTGCTAGTCCTGACCTACGGGTGTGATTCATGGTCAATGCCAGTCCTGACCTATGGGTGTGAATCATGGGCAATGACAGTGGCTCACAGAAGCCGACTTCGCGTCTCAGAAATGAGGTTTCTGAGAAAGGTGGTCCAAGTGACAAGAAAGGACACAGTTTGCAGTCAGACGATATCTTATGATTTTGAGACCCAGTCCTTACAAACTTGAGCTGGTCACTGACATTTACCATGGTGTGGACATGTCTGCAGAATGGGGTAGAACTGACCAACGAGGCAACCAGACCTCCAGGACAAACCAGGTGTCCCCGGGAAGACATCATCCGAAGTCCCTCACTGACAGAAGACTCGAACGAAACAAAACCAAAAGAAATTCGCTTATAGAAAAGTCAGGTGATCTTTCTGCGACACGTCATCACCACAAGGTACAAGAAGAGCGACTGGGTTTTTTTTTTTTTCTAAGTTCATTGTTAATGTTTCTGCACTACACAAAAGGTGTTCAGTATACATACATTGAATAATTTTCTTGAGAACGTAAAGTACACACCTGTAAAGCCTTGTGCATCTGTAAGACTAGATCTGACTCCCAAAGTCTGTTTGCCTGGTTGAAACAACACGTACATTAATCAGTTAGGATCGTCAGATCACAGGTGTCGCCGTGGTGCAGCATCTAAACGTTTACCTGCGAATTCGAAGTTCGTGGGTTCGAATGCCAAAGGAGTCCAAACATACAATTATTTTCATTGCTACTTCACAGCTTCAATAAATATGTGTTTTTCGATGGTCTTTGGCAACCCGTGTCCAAGGGTCGTTCTACCTCAAAGAGGGTATCGACCCATACTCTGAGAATCACTGAGTTATGTAATGTAAAATACACTATATCCATACTCGAGTCAAGTAAGCCCACTGCTGTTCCCGCGTGGTAGATCCAGCGTGGTAAGAAACTAACCAACAATCTGCATACAATAAGCCATATATGTAAAAAAAGAAGTGCATGCAAAACTTAAGTCTGGAACCGGACTAAAGTCCAGAGAACTTTTGCCGGAGTTTACAAGCTCTGAGACTATGGAGGTCACAACTGGGTCTGCCTGACACGGTCGTGAGTTGTCTGCCGCAGAGGTCACGCCGTTTCGAAACTCTCTTCTCTACTCATACAGGTATACACCACCTTACTAGGACTTCTTGGGCCAATGAATTTCTTTAAGTCTCACCCCTTCACTGAGTTAAACAAAAAAATAAAACTAATAACAGAATGATGTTCCTGGTTCATGTCAATTCCAATTCCAATTCTAATTTGATAAACAAAAATTCCAAACTGTGTCCTCTTTGAGTCGCCCGAGGGACTGCAGTATTGAAGACTGGTTCTTTGCTGTCTTATAAGAATTTAGCTTCTTTGTGGCGATCAGTTTCGCTGGGCTTTTTATTGGCTGTTTTGTGGACTGGATCTGGCAGCCCTAAAAAAGGACTGCCAGGTTTGCCTGGGTCGGCCTGGAACAGATGGGTGGGATCTCCTGCGGATCCGGTGCTAGCGTTTTTCTGACACTGACACCAATATTGACAGGATATAAGACACTTGCATGGTATTGTAATTTTTATAATACTTTCTTCAACCAGCCCGCTGGTATATCACACAAACTACTAAGTCAACGTGGCCAGACGGAAATGAGGAGCTTCTTTGACAAGACTAGGTACGAGTTCGAGCCTCTCGGAGGCAGGATTTTTATTGTTCGTTTCCAAGCAGTTCGGCGCTGACCAGACTAAAAAAATTAGACCGCACACAATTTTAAGAACTTACTAACGGTGTTTTCTTGAAGAAATGGATAGGAGCAACGAAGGGAACCGGCTACCCCACGTCGTTATTTAGTAGACAGAACTGTGTAATAATATTTAGGGTCCAAATGCGGTCTCTTGGAATTAGTAACGAACTAAGACCCAGCTACACCCAGCTACACACTAGGTTACCTTTCATAGATGCTTGCTCAGGCTGGTCCACGTTGCTCAAGGTTACAGGGGTGTCAAACTGCTGTAGACTGCACTCGCTCGTGTGACCTAGATTCAGCATGGGGGAGGGGGTTAGGGTTAGGGCCAGTTATTCATGTTAGCGGGTAGTTAAAGGCGCTCACATCCTGTAATATAGCCGGTAGAAGCGTCGACCAAGCTGACGTCCTGCCACTTGCGCGTCTCACAGGTTAAGGCGGAGATTGGATGTCCAACAATCACAGTGTCCTGGCCGGATACCGTCAATAATAGGTGTTTTATTGGGTGAAGCTGGGCCTGAGTTCGTTACAAGTTCCAGTCTCTGATACAGGTTCACATTGCTTACATTTAATAAGAAATTAGGCGGTTGTGTGGGTGGGAAGAGGAGCTCTATGGTGACGTGGTCAAGCCGCTGGACCAGCGCTCTGAATGCCATGGGTTCGTCTTATGGCTGTGTCGTTCGGTTTACAAGTGCAATCTTACCGAGATCCCTGAGATCGCCGCTGGAGCTAGGGAATTCATCCTTTTTGCGACGTTCTCGACAGGTGGATAGCCGTTCAGCGGAATGAGACCGAGCCATGGGGGATAAAAGTCTATCCTCTGGAGTGTAACTGTTTAACGAAGAGATTGTATGATAACGTTTTACAATTACTGACCACTAAAGCTTTACTGATGGCTCTGTCGCTCTGTAGAGGGTGCGTGCAGATCTGAACACCAGGCTTTGGTGACCTTGGCAGTGGCACACACTGGTGTGGCGGAAGTGAAACTCCCTGGGGTGGTGTTGAGGGTACTATCTTCACATCCGGGTCAAGTGCAATGGTCAGTCTGAACTGAGGAGCAAGGATAGATGACAGAAATTGTACTAGCGTACCATCTTGGTCGTCTGTTTCTACTTCTTCTCTTGCCTCTGCTTCTAGAATGTCTCGCTGCTTCAGTGTAGTAAGGTGTAGAAAAGTACAGTAATGTATACCAAAGGTATATTAAAGTATCTGCCGACAATTAGGTGGCAGACCGCTTCACCTTGATTTTTACAATAATGAGGAATGAAATGGCAAACTACTAAACGTTAAATTTTCTTGTAAAACCATAAAAATTTCTATAAACAGTTCTTTAATCTAAGCAGAAGTACTGGCTACAGCAGTGATTGAACACATGACGAAATTAAAGAATAAAGGGAACAGCCTTAACATACACACCACCATAGAAAAACATTGGGGGGAGGGCTGTCTCTCCCTCCAACCCCGCCCCTAACTACGCCTTATACATTTTCTAGAAAACCCATAAAAGGAAAACATTGGGGGAGGAAAGTTCAGCCACGCCCTCCTTCCTCCTTCACGAAACTTTTAGGCAAATAATTGAATGATTGGAGGGGAAGGAGGGGGCGGGAGAGCCTCATTTTCCTAATGACCCCCGAGGTCAACATGCTAAGTTGACCTTGCACTAAATGTAACTTTTAAAGCATTTCATATTTCAAGTGCATTATTATGTTCATTTGCTATTTACATTATTATTATTATTACTATTATTATTAATGTGCTGAATGGCAAATTAGTATAAATAATATACTTAAAAAACAAGAAATATATATAAAAAATATACGTTTAAAGAAAAGTATACACATGGTTAAACAAGGCTTATTAATCCTCAGGAGGCCCTGCCCCCTTTTTTCTCAAATCACTTAAAAATTGTAGGGTGGTCCAGCCTCTATGACAATATCATATATATTAGATAACAACA